CCTTACCTCAGGAAGGATATTATTGCCATAGATGGAGTTGATCCCAGGATGGTGGAACTGTCTTATGAAGACAGATTTGGAAAACTGGGCCTGTATTCTTCAGAGTTTCAAAAATTGAGATGTTATTTGATTGAAACCTACAAATACCTCAAAACATAGACAAATATATGTAAGATGTTTTCCCTGATTGGAGAGTCTGGAATCAGGGGACATAACTCAAAAATAAGGGGAATGCCGCTTGATACCAAGATGAGGAGAAATCTTTTACAAAGCTTGATGAATCTTTGGAATCCTGTACCACAGAAGGTTGTGGAAATGCTGTCTTTGAGTACGTTTAAAGTAGAGATGAATAGATTTCTGAATACCAATGGCATAACTGAAGTGTTCCGTCAACCATGATTACATTAAATGACAGAGCAGATTTGACAAGCTGAGTGGCCTAATCCTTTTCTTATGTTCAAATGGTGTTAATTTGCCTCCAACAATGTGTTTTACATGATGTGGCAATTCTTCTGTTATCTCCTGAAACATATGATACTGGATGTGGATACCATTTATTGAAGGCTCCAGAAGTTGTTTATTATAAATAATAATTATGTGTAAATGTTATATTCTTCATGTCCATGAGTATCTGCAGTAAATTTAAATTGTTAGGTTACAAACAGAGGAGCATGCTTCTGGTAGAGTAATCTATGATAAGATGGAATATGACACCCTTATACCCTCAGGTCACATATTATGTTATCATAAAGATGTCACTTAAAGATAGACAAACATACTGAACATGAGGGAGAAAATATCAGCACCTTTTTGCAAACTTAAAAACTTGTTCCAGATTCATGTGGTTGAACTTGGGCATGTGTTGTCCACTCAAGTTATGGAAACAGGTAAAACCAAGTTTACAAGACTAACATTTCAAAGTTTTCTAAAACCTGGAACACTAGGCTACCAGTCCTGCCCTTCTCTCAATCAAGTTTCTGTAATGGCTATCACATCATAGTCCAATATACTAATCTAAGCTCTAAGCTCATCTATCTTACCTGTTATACTCCTTGCATTAAATAAATATACTTCAGATCTCCAGTCCTGCCATGTTCATTAACCTGGTCCCACCTGTTCTTCCTATTAGACCAACTTGACTTAAGCTCTACCTTCTCCTCAATCATTCAGCATGCTGACTTACTGCTCTGGCTCCTATCCCCGCTACACATTTAAATTCTCCTGAGTGGCACAAGCAACCTCCCTGCAAGGATATTAGTGCCCCTCCAGTTTAGGGGTAACCAATCCTTCCTGTACAGGTACCTCCTACCTAGAAGAGATCTCAATGATCCAGATATCTGAAGCCTTCCCTTCTACACCAGCTTGTTCTTATCTGCTGATTGTGTACCCATCTGGAGAGGTACAAATTGGAATGAAAAATCAAAGGGGAATGTCTGTGATAGAGTATACACATGTGCCACATTGCTCGTGGGATCAGAAACAGGAAGATAAAATAGTGAATATGTTGCTAAAGAGCTGGTGTAGAAGGGAAGGCTTCAGATATCTGGATCATTGAGATCTCTTCTAGGTAGGAGGTACCTGTACAGGAAGGATTGGTTACCCCTAAACTGGAGGGGCACTAATATCCTTGCAGGGAGGTTGCTTGTGCCACTCAGGAGAATTTAAATGTGTAGCGGGGATAGGAGCCAGAGCAGTAAGTCAGCATGCTGAATGATTGAGGAGAAGGTAGAGCTTAAGTCAAGTTGGTCTAATAGGAAGAACAGGTGGGACCAGGTTAATGAACATGGCAGAACTGGAGATCTGAAGTGTATTTATTTTAGTGCAAGGAGTGTAACAGGTAAGATAGATGAGCTTAGAGCTTAGATTAGTATATTGGACTATGATGTGATAGCCATTACAGAAACTTGATTGAGAGAAGGGCAGGACTGGTAGCCTGGTGTTCCAGGTCTTAGATATCTCAGGTATGACAGTGATGTAAAAGGGGTAGAGGAGTTGTATTACTGATTAAGGAGAATGTCACAGCTGCATGAAGAGAGGACATCTTGGAGGGCTTATCTAGTGAGGCCATATGGGTAACACTCAGCAATAAGAAAGGTGTAATCATTATGATCGGGGTCATACTATAGACGTCTCAGTAGCCAGCAGGAAATAGAGGAATAGTTATGTAGGCAGACGATGGGAAGATGTATAAACAACAGGGGTGTTGTTGTGGTGGATTATTTTGACTTCTCCAATATTGGCTGAGACTCCCTTAGTGTCAGAGACTTAGATGGGGCAGAATTTGTTAGGTACATCCAATTTGGGAAGGAGACATACTGGACCTTGTACTGGTGAATGAGCCTGTTCAGGTGATCAAAGTTTCAACGAGAGGGCATTTTGAGAACAGTGATTATAATTCTGTAAGTTTTAAGATAATTATGGACAAGGATAAGATGGTCCTCAGGTGAATGTGCTAAATTGGGAGAAAGTGAAGTACAACAATATTCGGCAGGAACTGGAGAAATTAGATGGAGAGTGCTGTTTGAGGGTAAATCCACATCTGACATGTGGGAGTCTTTTAAAGGCCAGTTGATCAGAGTTCAGGACCAGCATGTCCCTGTGATGATAAGGATGGCAACATTTGGAAACATGACAAGAGATATTAGAAGTTTAGTCAAAAAGAAAAAGGAAGTATATGTAAGGTTTAGGAACCTGAAATCAGATAAGGCTTTTGACAAATATAAAAGAAGCAGAAAAGAACTTAAACACAGAATTAGGAGGGCTAAAATGTGCCATTAAATATTCTTGGCAAATAGGATTAAAGAGAATACCAAGTCATTTTATATATTATAGAGCATAGCTAGGGAAAGGAGTGAATTTATGCATGGAGCCAGAAAAAAATGGGTCAGGTCCTTAATTAGTACTTTGCATTGGTATTCACCAAGGAGAAGGTCATGGATGATAGTAAGATTAGGGAGAGATATGTTGATATTCTAGGGCATGTTGACATTAAGAAAGAGGAGGTGTTCGGTGTCTCGATAAAAATTAAGGTAGGTAATTCCCCAGGGCCTGATGGGATCTATCCCGGGATAGGGTTAGGGAGGAGATTGCTGGGGCCTTGACAGAGATCTTTGTATCCTCTTTAGCCACAGAAGGGGTCCCAGAAGACTAGCAAATGTTATTCCTTTGTTTAAGAAGGACAATAGAATTAATTCAGGAAATTATAGGCCAGTGAACCTTCTATCAGTGGTAGAGAAATTATTGGAGAAGATTGTTAGGACAGGATTAACTTGCATTTGGAAACAAATGGACTTATTAGGGATAGTCAGCATGGCTTGTGTGGGCCAGGTCTTGTCTCACAAATTTGATCAAGTTTTTAGGAAGTAACAAAGATGATTGATGAGGATAGGGCAGCGGACGTTGTCTATATGGACTTCACTAAAACATTTGACAAGTTTGCTCATGGCAGGCTGGTCCAGAGGATTAAGTCACATGGGATCCACGGTCAATTGGTAATTTTGATACAAAATTGGTTTGGTCCTAGAACATAAATGTTAATTGTGGACAGGTGTTTTTCCGAATGGAGTTCTGTGATCATGGTGTACTGCAAGGATCAGTGCTTGGAACTCTTGATGAAAATGTTAGTGGTCTGAATAGTAAGTTTGCAGACAACACGAAAATTGATGGAGTTGTGGATAACGAGGAAGGTTGTCAAAGGAAACAGCGGGATATAGATCTGGAAAATCGGGCAAATAAGTGACAGGTGTAGTTTAAGCCGGACAAGTGTGAGGTGATGCATTTTGGGAGGTCAAATGCAAAACGAAAGTACACAGTAAATGGCAGGATCCTCAGGAGCACTGATGTACAGAGAGATGTCAGGATGCAAGTCCATAGCTCCCTGACAATGGCAACATAAGTGGATAAGGTGGTAAAGAAGGCATACGGCATGCTTGCCTTCATTGGTCAGGGCATTGAGTGTAAAAGTCGATAAGTCACGTTGCAGCAGTATAAAAACTTTTGTTAAGCTACATTAGGAATATTGTGTGCAGTTCTGGTTGCCACACTGTAGGAAGGATGTTGAGGCTTTGGAGAGGGTGCAAAAGCGGTATAACAGGATGTTACCTACATTGGAGTGTGTTACATGTAAGGAGAGGGTGGACAAATTTTGATTGCTTCTACTAGAATGTTGGAGGCTGAGGAGTGACCTGATAGAAGTATATAAAGTTATGAGAGGTATGGATAGGGTGGATAGTCAGGGTGGAAATATCAAATACTAGGGAGCATTGGTTAATGGTGAGAGGGAAAAGTTAACAGAGGTGTGTGAGGCAGTGCTTTTTTTTAACGTACAGCGTAGTAGGTGCCTGGAACACACTGGCAGGGAAGGTGGTAGAAGCAGATACAGTAGCAATGTTTATGAGGCATTTAGATAGGTGCATGAACAGGCGGGGAATGGAGGGATACGGATGTGTGCAGACAAATGGAATTAGTTTAGAATGGCATCATGCTCAGCATAGATATGGTGGGCCGAAGAGCCTGTTTTCTGCTGTATTGTTCTGTGTAAAGCATGCGATAGGGATGATAGTACAAGGCAAAACAGGGTGGCATTGGCACAATTAATGAAATCAAAAGGTGGGTCTAGAGGAGGTGTCAATGACGACAGTGGAATCATTACCAGTGGCATTTCCTAGAAACTGGTCTGGTTATGTAACAAAGCTGTTTTGAATAATTAAAACATCCCAAAGCACTTCACAAGAGCATTATCAAACAAAATTTGACATGAGACATACTAGGAGATATTACGACAGCTAGCTAAAAACGTAGTCAGGAGCTAAGTTTAAGGGACCATCTGTTGGAGTGGAGAGGTACTGAGGTTTAGGGAGGACATTTCAGATCTTGTAGCCAAGTATTCTAAATGGATTTGGCTTTCTAATACTGTGTTTTTCTTTGGAACATTTTAATGAATCAGTTACATATGCTTAACTGAAGTGCACTGTATCTTGTTTTCATTCCTATTTCAACAGCTCTGGAAAAAGGCCTGCTGAAAACACTGCAGAAGCTGGATGAGTATTTGAACACACCCCTCCCTGAAGAGATTGACGCTGACAGCATGGAGGATGTCAAGGCTTCCAGCCGCAAGTTTCTGGACGGAAATGAGATGACGCTAGCAGACTGCAATCTGCTGCCGAAGCTTCACATTGTCAAGGTACTGAGTTATTTCACATTGTGTTTTGAACCAGTCAACTATACAGATGTTTACAGCGAAGAAAGCATTCTCGGCAGGATTAGGTAACCCAGGCCAACTTGGCACCTCATTTTGCCAGGACTCTTTGGGTGTGTTTGCATTCAGACTTAGCACTGCAGTGAATTGGTTTCCAACACTTAGCCCTTCAATTCCTCCTGGCCCATGAAGAAGGATGAATTTGTTTTTAAATAAATCTCACCGGCTTGCATCTCATCTGGCCCATGCTTCAATAACTGGCAGCTTTGATCAAGCTAGGAAATTGTCATTGCTCCCAAGCTCAGGCCCCCCACCAGAACAGCAGATTGGGCCTCATGGTGCAATTGGTCTAATCTGCAGATTTAAAAAGGACCTTATTGGTTTGCTGTGGCTATTCTTCTCATGGGTAGCCAGAATAGGGTAAGACTGTTTTGTTTAAGTCCCTTATACCATTTTAACTGTCCCTCATCTTGTTTCCTCTAAGCAGAGGGAGCTAAAATCAGGACTTAAATTGCTGCCAATCAGTATGTACTGAGTCAGGGGAGATTTATACTCTGGTTATCAAAACAAAATAAACAAGTAGAGAAAATATGAAAACAGATGAGTGAGGTACCCCTGGTGCCAGACTGCAAAATAATTTGATGGTAAGCCAGCAACTTTAACATTGTAGTTGATTTTGTAAAACATCCTGCTTTGCCCCATAGTGAGGCAGCAATAAAACAACAAAACATTTTGTGCATTTAGTTTCAGCAAATTTTTCTTTATGTTTACCATTAGATCCTATCTGTGTGGGTTAGATACCACGGTTGTTTCAATATTTGTATGAGAACTTGGACAAATGAGAGCATGATGGACATGAAACTTAAAGGCAGGAGTAGATCTGTTGGCACATGAGCTTTGATTTGCTGTTTATTTAGAAGATCAGCCATGATCCTACTAAAGTCTTAAAGAGTCATAGAGTTTTTACAGTGCAGAAAAAGGTCCTTTGGCACAAATTAACACCACTTTCCCACTCTAGCTTTATATCTTTTCATTTCCTTGGTTCCCAGAACTCCTATTAAACACAGCCTTGGGCACAATGACCAATTGTACATCTGTAGGCCTCTATCAGAGAGAATTCCAATGAGTCACAGTCGTCTGCATGAAGAAATTTCTCCCTTATTGCAGTTCTAAATGTTTGACCCTTTATTCTGAGCGTATGACAACTGGTTCTAAACTCTCAAGCTAGGGCAAACATCATTTCAGCATTTACCCTATCAAATCCTCAAAGAATTTTATACATTTTAGTTGGATTACTTCTCATTATCCTATATTACAGGATGACCTTCTCACCTGGGGTCAGACTCATGAGCCGTTGTTGCACTCCCACTAAGATAAATGTATGCTTCCTGAGATAAGAAAAGCAAAATTATGCCTGGTGCTCCAAACACAAATATAATTGCAGAAAAATGTCCTTCATGAATACAGCAATCCCCGTGTTCACAATAAAAACGAACATACATTTGCTTTTCTAATTGCTTGCTGTAACTGTGGTGCCACCATTCGATGCATCTTGCATGAGAAACATTCTTCATACAATAGTGAATAACCTAAAGTTTCTCAATATTATAATTTGTCTCAATCTTTTGTCCGGTCATTTAACTTGCCTTTATCCCTTTGCGGCCTCTTTGCATCCTCCCAACAATTTATGTCCCTAACTAACATTGTTTAATCAGGAAATTTGAATATTTAAAACTCAGCCCCATCTTCTTAGTCTTTTACAGAGCTTGTAAATATCTGAGACTTAAAGCGCTGGTCCTTAACCACACACACTTTCATTTTCTAACTGTTATCCAATCCTTAATCCTTGTTAATGTTAATACATTATTCTCAGTCCTATGGACCCTACTGTGCACGAAAGTTCTGATCCTTTCTGAGCTTAAGTAAATAACGGACAATTGCAAATGATAACAAGGCTACAATCTCATTGAACAGCCCATATGATTCTACTCTGTAACCTGGAGATAAAATGAAAGTCCTTCAATGATTTTCTTGTACCTGTTATTTTCTTTCATTTACTGTGGAGCTTATGGAGCAACTTCTTCATTGTGACTTCAGTTTCTTTGCTACTAGTTAGAATTGATGTGGAGTTGAACTGGGGTGGACAAGGCCAGAAATCGCACGACACCAGGTTATAGTCCAACAGGTTTATTTGAAAATACGAGTAGTTAGAATTGTGGAACTTAAGTAGAAAATATGGCTTATGCATTGACAGACGATGATATTAAAACTGAAATCAATGGTTCATTGAATAATATTTCAGACCGCTCATTACATCAATAAATTGATGGGAAATGCAAATGAAATTGAAACATGAGTCCGTTAAAAATGTTGTTTTATTGGACCTTTTCTTAAAGTGCTCAGGACCATCCTGATGATATGAAAAGATAATGCATAAACACAAGTTCTTCTTCTTTTCGGTAGGTTGTAGCAAAGAAATACCGGAACTTTGACATTCCCAAATCCATGATGGGAATCTGGCGATACCTGCAGAATGCTTACACCAGGGATGAATTCACAAATACCTGTCCTGGAGACAAAGAAATCGAAATTGCTTATGGAGATGTAGCAAAACGCCTCAGCAAGTGATGATGGACAAGGCCAGCACCGAGCATTCACTAACAGAAAAGCTTTTGTTAACAGACTACGCTTTTACTTTTATTGCATGGTTTTACAAGTTGTCAGATATTTTATATTTTCCATTGGATTATAACTTCAGGTATCTCAGTTCTTACTTTTTTATATAAATATATATATATTTTAGGAAGGGTTTTCAAGGTTCAGTAAACTAAGCAAGCAGTTGTCCAAGTGAGCAGAAGCACTTAGCAATTGATATCCATCAGATGTTGACTACTTGATATCGAAAGAAAAGATGTTATAGGAACCTGTGCCTTTAAGACCTTGTGCTGTGAAAGATCATTCTATAATATGAAAAATAACAAAAGAAAATTGCTCAGTTTTGATCATATTTACACACAGGTACACAAATATATTTTATCTTCAAATATTAACAGATTAAAGTTGCCTTCTTGGTCAGTATCACATTGGTTAACAGAAGGATCCAAACGTAAGTGCCACCATACAGTAAGCAAGTAACCTTGAAAGCCCTAATTGTAGTATTATGGAATAAATACACATACAAACACTGAACATAATAAGTTACAGTATTCCGCTGAACAGTTTTATCATTGTATTTATAATGCTGCAATAATCCTCAAATCTTTGACTGCTTAATCATAAGTAAAATATTCCCATTTTCCCTATTGTTAAACTTCATTCCAAACTATTATGACACATTTTATTGTTTCGTTTTGTTTTTTTTACAATATCTTGATAAATTAACAAAAAAATTAGTTTGCCCTGAATTCATATTATTAAGAAAAGGGTGGCTGAGCAAAGATTAAACAAAATCAACACTGAAGTAAAAATTGTGACTAGTGGCTGTAGCGGGCGATGCAATAGCCAGTTTTATAGAATTTTTTATAAGTTTTTGTTAAGTGGACATTATTGTTCTTACACAGGTACACAAACTCAAGACAATAAATCTGGATTAATAGCTCTCCCCATGGTTTTGTGTAATTTCAAAAGCAATTGAGTGGTCCATTTGAATACTTAAAGAAAATAGGGGAGGCTAGTTTTATTGAATGAACAGCTTCATGTGCAACATGTCAGTGTATAAAAAGAGATGATGCCACTTGTATCTTGGATTTTCTCCAGGGAGAGAAGCAATCTTTTATAAATGGTGCAGTTCTGTACAGTTGCTCCACAGGTCACTTGGTGTCAGAAATTTCTGACAAGGAATTTTCAAATTTGTCTTGCAATTCTTCCTCCTACCCTTTATCTTCAATAGAATACTAAATCCAAGAGTCAGTGGTTGTCTATGTCTGACTTATGCTCAGTTCATCACTGATATTCAGCTTACAATGAAGAACACTTACACTGATGATTGAGCAATCAAACAATTTAATCCTTGCTGTAGTGTGCAATGTACCTGACAACCTACAGGGTACTCATTTATTAGTTACTTGATAATGATGTTGTAATTTATGAAAGATATATGTACAACCTGAAGTTATCCCAGGTAGTTTCTTTTTGTGATTTAAGGCCATTTATTAGTGGCTTTTGAAGGATTTTATATGAAGACAAAGCTTTCATTTTTCATTACTAGTAACCGAGTTTCATTTTCAACCATGTTATTCTTCTCCTAATGGTGGCAGAATTACAAATCATTAAAAAGGAACAAGCTTACTTCAGTTCAGATAATACAGGTAGAAGTGATTGTTGCATCATTAGAAAAAAATCTTTCTGAAATGCAGGGACAGTGAAATTACACAACATTGGTTTTATTATACATATTTTCACATTTCTGACTGCAGAAATGAAAATCATTTCAAATAACCAGATGAATTGTTGCCTATTTATGTGCACAACCAAACTGTAGAACTGCAAAATTCTTGTGGGTTTCATTGACCTGTGGTCAGTTCATTCACTTTACCTCACACACTTCTCAGCCAATTGATGGTAGAGCAGTACTTGAGAGCTGTGCTGGAGTCACTTCTGCAGGTAGCGATTGCATTGTGGGGGAGAAAATGGCACATCAGAGAATACAGAAGAATGTACATTCTTTCCAAAAAGAACACTTTACATTGAGTGCAGAGATAACAAGGTGTAGAGCTGGATGAACACAGCAGGCCAAGCAGCATCAGAGGAGCTGATTTCTGAAGAAGGGTCCAGACCCGAAACGTCAGCTTTCCTGCTCCTCTGATGCTGCTTGGCCTGCTGTGTTCATCCAGCTCTACACCTTGTTGTCTCAGATTCTCCAACATTGGCAGTTCCTACTATCTCTACATTGAGTGCAAGTCCTTTTCTTTTGAAACCAACATAGCAAGCTTACAGAACTTTTTGCCAGTTTGTAAAGAAACCCAATTTGTAAAATTATTTTCTTACCTTCAAAGGTGGTCATATTTTGTGTTCTGCTTTCAACTGATACTAAGCTGACTTTATTGTAACATATTTCCAAAGGAAAGCAAATCAATCTTAAATGGGATACACTACCCAGAATACCGAGTTGCAAAGCACCATTAGGTTGTTTAAATAATTAGTCTAACCTGTCACAGTTTACACATGAAATCTAGAGTTAGGCGAGCAAGCATGCCTCTAATTCAAATCATGATGTGACAAAGTACGATGGTGCAAATTGAATTCATGTTGTATTTCTTCATTTTTAAGCAGAGTAAAATTTCATAAATATGATATGGCTGAATTAATATATTTTGCAGAATAGGTTAATTTTCAATGTGCTATGACTAAAATATCCTGAAGATTGCCGTGTCCTTCTAAGAAATGGTACACAACACAAGATCCAGCAAGAATTCTCCAGCTGTACATCACTTGAGCTGCCTAATCTCCTCTAATAAATGCTACTGCTTCTTCATTCTTATGTTAACACCATGTTGCAAAAAACAAATGAAAGTAGTGTTCAACAGGTAATGTTTTATACCTATTGTACTTGTGAGGAAGACCTGGAAAATCTCTCTTGAACTAGGTCCAAGAATAAAGACATTTTCACCCGAGTTAAGCTAAAACATTATAAAGTGGATTTTTAGTGTCAAAATTGGACAACAGATGCAAAGCTTCAGGAATATTTATGATGATTTAAGAAACTCAAATATTAATGTATAAATTCATAGAATCCCCACAGCGTGGAAACAGGCCCTTTGGCCCAACAAGTGCACACCGACCCTCAGAGTATCCCACCCAGACCCCATCCTTCATAACCCACCGAATCTACACATCCCTGAACACTACAGGCAATTTAGCATGGCCAATCCACCTAACCTTGCACATCTTTGGATTGTGGGAGGAAACAGCAGCACCCAGAGGAAACCCACACAGACACAGGGAGAACGTGCAAACTCCACACAGACAGTCACCCGAGGGTGGAATCAAACCCAGGACCCTGGTGCTGTGAGACAGCAGTGCTAACCACTGAGCCACCAACTAATTTGGTTCCAGACAGCTATTGGATTGCTAATCCTGAAACATGCCTAGTTTATTCTCATGATCGAAGATGAACTTGGTTTGCATTTGATTTGCGCATTTAAAGCTTTGTGCAACAACAACTAATTGTTGTTTAGTAGTACAGAACTTGAGTACTGCTTTGAAAAAGACATTTTTGTCAAAGTTTTTCATCTTGCATTTATCAGGACAGTTCTCAAGATTACCAATTTAAGGGGGAAACCAACGTTTATCCTGTACAAGACGACAGTTAATGAATAATCAGAGGAGGGGCTCCTGTGCAATGTATTTGGAGCAATTGTGCTTTCATTTCCTACAACTTTTGGAAACTGGACAATATAAATCTCCCATAAATATGATGTTGTAACTTGCTTCAGCACAGTTCAACTTTCCCATGTTTTAACAAATATTCCTTAAACTATTTGTTTTTCCACTTTTGTAAGCACTAATAACTTGGTTCCAGACAGCTATTGGATTGCTAATCCTGAAACATGTCTAGTTGATTCCACATGATCGAAGATGATCTTGGTTTGCATTTGATTTGTGCATTTAAAGCTTTGTGCAAATGCTCATACTGGAATCATAACAAATTAAACATTTTCCCAGGTGGTAGTGATATCAATTCCATATTGTAAACATTAGTTCTTTGAGACTGGGTGTTAAGTAAGAAAGAAGAATCTGTTCAGATAATTTGATCAACATAGAGAAAATGGCAATCAGAAAAAATCCCTCTCTTTTATCTGACTATCAAGAGTGACATCTTTTTGTGAATTGGTGAATCATTACTTCCACTTCAACATGGGTAATCTGAACTTTGACAAAGTTACTCTATGATCAGTACTGCTCATTTGTATTTACTTATTGGATAATGACCAGTCAATATTTATCAAATAAGGTTCTCCTGAAGGTTTAACAATGTGTCCAACATTGATATCACATTGAACTTAGCTATCAATAAATTTGCTTATAGACTGGAGTATAAAGGATATTTACACTCAGCATTTCCCACACAATTGCCAAGAAAAAAAGAATTATTAACAGTCTGAAAATTATTAATATAATGCTTAGCAGATGGAAAAATCTAATCTTCAAGAATATCAGAACGTAGGATCTGAGACTGACAAAAATTGGAGGGGAGCAAAGTCAAGATTCTTTAAAGATTGGAATGGGTGGGAATGTCAGTTTAGCTCGGGCTTTCCAATTCCCAGCTTGTGCATCCCCAGCTACATGTTCATGATTGTAGATGATAGAAGAATCAGTCTGAAGATCCCAGGGTCTAATTTTCACTTAATCTCTAGACTGATGTGACTGTGAATCTGGCTCATCACAAGGGATGAGTGTCTTCCACACTTCCAATCAAACTGAGACCCTTGGTGAAACAACATTTCACCAATTAAAAATCCACCATTATGCCTGGACATGCATCTTTATTTTGAAGGTACTGTTTTTAGATTTGTAAATGAAAATAAGAATATTTCCAATTGTCCAAAGTTCACATGATCTTAAATTCCAAATTCAGATCTTTGATAGTGTTCATCAGTGAGTGTCCAATTGTTATAGTGTTGATAACCCAATAGTGAGTTTTATGGCACACAGAATTTTTAAATAAGGAGAAGGGCTCTAAACCACAGTGTACTGCATATTCTTGGTATTTCATTGATCAATTGTGCCAGTTACTGAATGTTTACTGTTTCATGTGAAAGTGCTATAAATTAAAATGCCAGTACTTGGGTCAACGTTAATTGCCCATTCTCTTAAGCTGTTAAGAATTTGAGGTGGAACATCAGCAAATTTTAGAGAACATCAAACAGTTCAAATTGACATTTGGCAAAATATTGTAATGTTTTTCAGCAACAGGACCATTAGCAGAATAATAATTGTGTTAGGAGAGAACCCAGACAGAATTTTCTGATCCCATATGATACACCAACAGGAGGTATTGTATCTAGCTCGGTCTATTAAAGGGTTAACACTAATCGGTAGAACTAAGACATTGGACCAGATTTAGCCCTACTGTCATCTCTGCTTTGAAAATACATTTTTAAACGTGCTTTTAAATAAAAAGAGTTGAAATACTGGAGATAATGGTTAGAATCCTTGTTCCAATGTTAACTGAGCTTTGAACAAGCTTTGACAACCTGTTCAGAAAATATTGTTCTAATACCAGGGGATAGCGTCCTCTAGTTTTTTTAAGAAGTAAATAATAAAGTAGAGAACACTTTTTTAAAATAACGAACAAAGCGAAATGTACCTCTTGATTGCAATCCCTTAAAAACTGAAAGAGTACAATTAATTCTAGGCTGCACCTTGAAAAAGTAATACCGTATACTGTTGTCAAAGATGATCCTTTAAAATTACAAATGAATTGAATCATCTGAAACTGTGTTGAAACAGTTTTTAACACTGTCATAAAATTAAAATCTTGAGTACTGATCGACAAATTCTTGCAGATTTGTCAATGTTGGTACAGGACCATCTACTGTAGCTCTGTGAAAATTTTAATTCATGAATCATTTTTGAAGCAGCTATCTCAATAGAAAGC